GTGCGGCCTGGGGAACTACCCTTCGAACGGAGGTCATCATTCCGATGAGCTGCATTAGTTCTCGGAGAGACACTGAAGGTACGCTGACTAGGCGTTCTGCTAGGTTGCTTAGCGCTAGGCAACGCGCTTGAGATGGGCAAACCAGGCCTACTTCGGTGTCGAACTCCATTCCCAGAAACACCAACTGTTGCGTCAGGTCGGGATGGAACTTTTGTGATTTACTAAAAAGCCCAATTGGTGAAGTAAATCCTGTGTAAGCTTTACATGTCTGGCTAATAACCCCTTGTCTGGGTTGTGTATCAACCAGTCGTCTAGGTACGGATTGATGTGTACCGACATTTGGTGGAGCAGAAGCACTACCTGATTCATCACTCTGGTGAATACGTAGGGCGCCGTGGATAACCTGAAGGGGAGCACCCGAAATTCGAATACTTGGCCCAGATGAGCGAATCGAAGGAGAGGGCAACTCGCTGGGTGCATCAGTATGTGCAGGTAAGCGTCGCATAAGTCTAAAGAGGCTAGCCAGGGGTTACTAAGCTGCAGCCTGATCTCTCGAACGCAGCCCCCCCCCAACCCCCCTCACAGAGGTAAGCGTCAAACATGCTTACCCCGCTGCCGGGGATGATGACCACCCGAGGAGGAGCCACCACCTGGTCCTCTCTTTCCTGGGGGTGCGCCGCTACCCTTCCCTCCCGCGGATGGGTACGAGCGCTTGCCTCCTGGCTGACTCTGTTTAGCGGAGCTAATCCTAGGGCGTTGTGCTTTCTGTGCTTGGGGCGCCCTCCGTTTACCCTTGGCAGCGGCCAACTGGCTAGCGGATTTGACTTGGACCATTTGGTTTGTTACACCCCGGAAGCTCTGCGACTGAACCCGCTATCTCCCCATCAAGGAGGGTGGAGGATCTCCAGTCTGCGTAACTGAGGCGGTGGCATACCTCCTGACTCAGTTCACCGGCGAAAACACACGCGTCTAAAACCGCGTCTCGCTGCACAGTAGTAGCCCCGGCCAAGAGAGTCATATGACACTGGAGGATATCGCACATAGCCGTACGGTGGCCTACCATTAACTGTGTCGCCTGCTCTAGGAGGCGAGTGCGTTCTGCATCCGAGGTCTCAGAGTACTGGGCGTGCACAAGAATGCGCTCCAGTGTGGCGCCCACAAATTCAAGGAAATTGATGGGTCGCAACTCCGCTCTCAGGGCATGCTGGATAGTCTCAGAATGGGTCGATGAGAATGTCCATGGAACGCGGCCATCCACCTTCACCCGGCTGGCAAAACAGAAGTTAGTGGTACGGGGGTCCGGGGAAGGAGCCTTGGGGTCCGGTCAAGGACTTCTAGTTTCGTCCCACGAATTGGGGTCCGAATCCGAGATTGCCCCAATGGGGTAGCGTTTAGTCCAGCGAAAGGAGTTATGCAAAAGATTACCCCAGCCTGGGGCTTTCGGCGTTACTTCCTCCGCGGCTGACCAACAACCGCCCCTCAACACCATCTGCGCGCCGTCCCCCACGCTCAGCGCTCGGCTGGACCAGAGGAGACGTGTGGATGGGGTCGATCTGGATCCCGGCGCCTGTGATCCCATCAGCGTAAAAGCGACCGTAAGCGGTGGCTTTAGGATTGAGGGTGGGGGAATATACATAGCGTCACCTGGACTGATAATATTCCGCATCACCCCAACGGCGTGGCTCACCGAGTCATTACACAATGTGGACTCTGAGGGACCGCCCGAGGTACCCACTGTATCCGACGCGAGTGAACTGCCACCCCTCAGCCTAAATATGTGGGCGAGAGCGTGTACAAAGTATGTCCTGACCCGAACGCCCTGTCCCGAAAACGGAGTCCTGGCTACCAGCGTCCCCGTTGGTGTTGTGTGTCTGAGGTTCCCGAGGAGACCTGCTGCCACTAGCCTGAGCCTCAGCCCCCCTCCCCCCCGAATCAGCAGAGGGGGGGGGGGGTCCCACGGCTGGGAACGGGGGATTCCCTGGAAGAGACGTGTTTAGAATGCGAACGATGCTTTCTGTGTTTCTTCCTACTTGCCGGCTGAGAGGCCGCAGTGGAGACAGCTCGCTCCGCCTGCAGGTGATCTACTCTGCCTGCCAAGGACGCAATTTGCCCTGACAGTCCTTCGACCAATGCCCTCATTTCAGCAGCAAAACCGGCGCCGTGTGAGGATGGGTTCACAATGGGACCCAGCGCGGGCCCCATAGGAGGAAAGACCTCCAGGGTAAAGTTGGGAAACCCACTGCCTGAAAAAACAGACTGTGTAAATGCCCTCCGATCAGCGGGGGGAAGACCGAAAAAAATCGGAACCCCCACTATTGGGCCCTTTGCTTGGTATCCCGGTATGAGAACCGGTAACCGAGCATGAGGACTTATCATTCATGCCAACGCACAACTCACTGATACCTATGAGGAGACAATACCGGCGGTGAGCCTCTGGCGTCGCCAGTGCATCTGTCCATTTCTAAATACATTAAAAATAAAAGACGACATGCATGAGGGAAAAGAATTACAGTTGTAAAAGGTGCCGCCATAAAATCAACATGTGACTACGTAGTGGCGCCGGGTTTAATTTCTTTGTTGTGGAAAAGCATAACACACAAAGGGGAAAACGACACGAGGGTAAAAAAACAAGAAAAACTTATCCTACCAGCTAGAATGTTGGATGCCGCGGCTGCGGCGACGACCCACGCTAGAAACCCGGACAGGAAAAAGCAACAAAGCCAGGCAGAGCCGCTCAGAAACATTCCCCGACGAGGCGGAGAGAATTGAAGAGTGATGGACGGCTACCTATGGCGTTGCCATGTGGCCTCGGTCACGTGGGTTCGTGATGTAAGGGGTAAAAGAATCTTGAGGTCATGGGGCTTCCCCTGACCTAGATTCTATCTCTCCGTCACCGGCAGAATCGCTGATTAATGCCTACAGTTCAAAATAGTCATTTTGACTGACCGGAGTCTATGGTGGGTAATTGAACGTAGTGAATTGACTTGTATAAAGAAAATTTAGAAAATTTAATTTTTCAATAATAGCATCACAAACTTACCGGATTGCATGACTCTGGTTTTATGATAGTCTTTGAGCAAAATGAGTGTGCACGTCTTCCTCTACCGATCGGGGTACCTGGAGTGTTCCGCAGGTCTGTTGTAGACACTGGCCTGCATTCTGACCAAGCATAATCATCACTGTCTATCGAGTCTAGATCAGAATAAAATGAGTCTTACACACAAGACATTGGGTGTGTGATTGTTAGAATGAAAGAGTATACAAGCAAATGAGTTTTTTTATGATAGATGACAGTGACAATGATGAAAAAGTTAGAGTGAACAGATATTTTAAAGTATGGGATTGCAGAAATGGAAGAAAATTTGCCCACATGAAGTTAATGGTACAGAAAACATTCATATAGCCTACACTTCAGGATTGAACTGATTTGTTTTTATAACCAGAATGCCATAGCTTAGGTAACTGGTATTTGTTAAGGAGTACAGCTTACGGTAGAAGATTATTCATAAATCAAATGGACAAGGTTTGTTGATATACCGGGGGTAGTTTCTTTTTCGTTCTCAATCCTGCAGTTCAGTTACTAGAATTTATACCCCTATAATTCGACCACCCAAAAAAATAAGTTCAGTTTTTCTTCTTATAAATCGGCCACTCCCAAAAATAATTATTTTTTCATGGTCTAATTGATCGAAGGATTACGATATTATGTTCAATTATGGAGCTATAATTCCCTGTTATCATGAAACAGCATTCTTTTGTGCATAAAAGAACCTTTTTTATATTGAGAATACAGAATCCTAAGTACAACTCTATATCACAGACCTTTCACCAAAAAAAACTATGATAAAACTGTACTAATACCACAGGGAGTTGGACAAACTTGTGTATTTTAATAAATTATTAAATAATAAAATGTTATATAACTTTTCTTTTAACCCTCTTCCTGGTATCGATTTTAAGTAATCACTGATCTTTGTTTATACCACTCTTTCCTTCATCACAACTTTGTTACGCGCTAATGTTGTATGCAAATTTTAACGCGTGATGTAGACACACCCTATTATAGTAAAATATCCCAAGGGTTGAAACGCGCCAGGACTGTGGCATAAAATCACGCATTCGAACCTTTCAAAGTTCGTTTTCTTTACAAATATGGCATCTGTAATGACATGGATGGCATTAGAAAGTGACATAATTGCATTTGCACTTGAATATTTGTCAAATTAAAACTCATTGTGATCGAGCGACATGGCAGGAGCACAACCGTAAAGCCGGAAACCGGATGTTGCGATCTTTGACCTCTATCGCAAAGCATGACTCCTATATTGTTGTGTCACATGATCAGAAAGTAAACAATTTCCCCATGAATTGTGCTGCAGCTATTTTGATTATTTTCATTAGAAAGATCTCGAAGAGCAACGCGAACGACATTTGAAGTAGAAACCATTTTACAGAAGAGTCACTGGTTCATTGAAGTTGCGTCGCGTCGGAGATTACACTCGCCGGATTTAAATTTTGCGAGCAGCATTTCTTGTTTATTAATGCATCTCATGAATAAATTAAATGCCCACCGGCTTTACGGTTGTGCTTATGCCACAGTCCTGGCGCGTTTCAACCCTTGGGATATTTTACTATAATAGGGTGTGTCTACATCGCGCATTAACATGTGCATATAACATTAGCGTGTAACAAAGTTGTGATAAAGGAAAGAGTGGTATAAAACAAGGGGAGTAAAAGACCGGGGGGGGGGGGGGGGGGAAGTTATATAACATTTTATTATATAATAATTTATTAAAATACCCAAGTTTGTCCAACTCCCTGTGCTAATACTGACAAAATGACCACAATTCATTAAAATATACCACTCATTTTTTAGAAAATTAGGCTGGTGACCATAGATTTTTTTTTACAAGTCTATATCTTTGTATCAAGTAGATGTACAATTTATATATTGATAAATTCTGGATACTTCATTCATGGGTAAGCTTTTACCATTATTTATTTTACCAAACAGTCACGTACCAGCCCAATGGCTACTGAGAGAAAAACTGATATTAAATTTACTGGGCAAGGAAAGCTTTTTTAGCCACAATTTACTTAATTACATGACCACAAATAAACAACTGACTGGTTTTGAACTTCCAGCAATCTAACCGTGAATCATACAGTGAATGTTTGAGAATTGTTCAGTCCAATGAAAGTAAAGTGGTGGTTGTAATTTCCAGTGTTGAATGAAATAATATTGTTATTGTGGGTTATTTGCACAAGCCGAGGGGGTCACAAGCACCTATAAAATGCTAACAAACAAATAAGTTAGAGGTATTGTAAACCTTAATTCAACTTACCACGTGACAATAATCTTTGTCTTGGTGGGCTACGCACAGTCTCAATATGTGTAGTAGCAGTAATAGGGCCAGAATGTGGTACACTGACTGTAGTTCGGGTCACTATTGATGTATCCTATTATATGTGAAAAAAACCAAAGCAATTACCATGCTATTCTAGTATGAGATAAAGCATCTTTTTTCCCCTACAATAGGTAGCATCCAGCAGAGAGTATATTAGGTTTCACTCTGAGTTTGTATTGCAAATATCTTACCAAGCTAACACAGTACAATCAATTCTGGTACATTCAGGTACAACAGCAGAGAAACAGGCACATATAAAATACAGTGGTGGGACTGCTTTCCTAAAAATAGTTTGCAATCTGTGAAACAACAAGTATACTTACAGCTTCTGTGGTTGTAACCTTGGACGTTCTTTTGACCTTTTTGTTTTTCAGTTGTTGATCATCATATTCTATGGGAGGGGCACTAGGACGCTGTTCAATATAAATAAGTAAAGAAATAAATAAATATAATAGCGATAAACCATAGTCACAGAATCAAGAAGTAAATGTAACAACAGTGAATATATGAGCCAAACTGAAAACAAACTGGTAACATTTATTACAATGAAAACAAAAATGGGAAAGTACATGTAGTAAATGTATTTTGTCATATTTTTTGTACATTAAATTTGATGTTTTGTAGCCCTGCATGCAGCTAGATATGGCCTGATTATCTATCAACTCCAGTTATGATTTCTTTGCAGTCATTCTAAATTTTGCAATCACATTGAAAAACAAAACTAAAAATACATTTCTAGTCCCAACTTTGCCAGTCATAGATACTTCTGTAAAATGTCAAAGTGATGCATGTACCTTGTATGAATGAGACTTTCCACACATGTTTGACTGTCAATACATGTTGAACACAGTACGCTAACAATTAAAAACCACATCATGAATTTTGTTTTTCCCTGTCATATTTTTGTTTTAATGAAATGTGTGTATGCAAAGTTTTATATTGTTTGACAGACTTTGTAAATTGCTTAAGAGTCTCTATATGCCTTTGTTCATTATTTGCTTGAACAATAATGTTTAAAATGTGTGTCGCAGCCAGGAGTAAGAATTATAAAAAGAACATTATAGCATAGACACACATGTCATTCCATGACAATTAAACCATGTTAGTTGTAGTTCTACTTTGCCAATGTGAAGTTCTACAATATCAGGGATCTCGCCACGATGGTCGGCGGTGGTCAGCCCCACCGGCACTCAAAATTAGCGACCACCACAGAAATTCTTTCGACCAGGACTATTGTCCGATTGTTATTATAATTATGTACCGACCGACACGCATCCTGCCAGTCGTGGATTATAATTTGTAAACAATAGACCTAGTCGCACGATACGTAGCGGCTAGTCAATTTTGTGAAATTAGCACCACTTTGTAAGTAAATACTTTCTGCAATAGACACATTCTTTAGATTGAAAGCTAAAATTCTTTCAAAATCAATTTCACCCCGATATAACATGGTCAAAGCGCCTGTGGGTCAAAGCGGAGTTCACGATCTGACAGTTTACGCTACTCAAGAAAAAATTCAACGTGTTTATTATGTGATTTGGTAAAATACATTTGAACTGTTATCATCGCGATTCATGTAAATACTCTTCTTTCAAGACCTATTTTACCTTTTAAAAAATGCTAATCACCTCTTTTGATGACCATCGTGCAGTTTTCAACTGAAATCAATGTCAACACATCGTGCTACGACATTGCTTTACTTCCGCAATGTAATTTTTCTGATCGCTACCATTCGAAAAACTTCGGATTCTATCAGCATTACCATGCGGCATTCTGATTGGTTAATGGAATTATTGACCCATCGGGTCAAAGGACACATGCCGATCAACCAATACGTCACAAACATCATGGCGGGCTGTATTTTTTACCGAAGCGATCAAATGATCAAAAATATCCATTCCCGATAAAACTAAGTCAAATTTTACTTTTATTTCTTATCAAAAGAAAAACGAAGTAACATTTTTTGCTTGGCATCATGACTGAGTAAGAGAAATTATTGGTATAATCGGTGTAAAACATCGCGAAGTAAGTTGTCACGTCGTAACTTTGAAAGTTCGAAAGTTTTATTTGTTCGTTAATTACTGTAAATATATACGTTTTAGAAATTGATTGTACAAATAATAAATTACAACAATACTCCAAATAATTACGTGGTCGATTTTTTGAAAGAGAATGTATTTGGGGTAAATAAGATCGTGAAAATATTCCTGGCTGAAACGTTTCAAATGCGTTTTATTCAACTTTTTACAATAGACTATAATATTGCAACAATAATTTATTTGTTTCTGTTTTTTAGTCTGCAGCATTGGCATTGTGAAACATGTCTTAATTCCAAAAATATTTGCGACTGCGACCGAACTCATTAATATTCATTGTTAATTAATATTCATATAGCTCATTAATATTCATGACTGACCGGCACTCGCGTTGGGCTGGCGAGATCCCTGTAATATATACATGTACCATACTATACTAATTAGGCAGTCATGAGTGTCACCTGACAATAGAGTCAGCAAAGTTTTAAGTGAAAACATACCTTCTTAGTTTTTGGTGGGGATGATCTATGCCATGGTCTGCCATCTCTAAGAAATGAAACGTCTGTATCATCAAGGTCTTCCTCTGTGTGATCATAACTGACATCAGAAGCTGACAGCAAATCTGCTGATTCATCAACTGTAGAAAGCCTTAAAAAAAAGAAAGAAATTTAATTTGGATAGGTCATCATGTTGCATTCACTCACATAAGAGAGAGGTGTACGGAATCTATGGCTAAACCTAGGTCATATTGTACTGTGACTGCCAAGAAAGAATGTAACGGCAATATTGCAGAATGAGACGCTGTTTTGCTCACAAAATAGCTACCTCAATATCTCAATTATTGTATACATAATTTTCAGGTGAAATAAATCAATCAATCATATTACACAAAGTGTTGCCACATTGTAAGCAATTATAGCTATATCATTAGAAAAACAGTATCCCATACTGCAAAATTGCAGTTACATTCTTTCTTGCGACCACAGTAAAAATCCAAAAATGCAAAACTTGGTTTGTTTGTTTCAATTGAAGATGTGCTTCTAATGAAACAAATGTACCGGTAGTGTATAGCTTCAGAGATAAGCTCAAGACGGAGCAAATACGTTATGACAGGGTTTTTAAATTGATAGCGTAACCACAGCCAACAATTGTATTCATAGATCAAAGAATTCATAGATGTTTATTCACAATGAATACATGCATTTTTTCATTGAAACCCCTGACATGTTGCAATGAGGTCGGTTCTTCGTAAATAGATTTCATGATCTATGACAATGACATGTTATAGCGCCGAAGGTGGAGCTGCAGCCTTCAACATTATAATGGTCTGGGGAAAACCCTGGACTTATAATCATAGTCATCAAAGTCTCACCTTTTTGGCGTATGTGTATTAAGATTGGTTGCACTAAGAAATGCCAGACTCTGCCTCTCTTCATCGTTAAGAAGACTCATTCTGTTACCATCACCAAGTAATTCTCTGACTAAAGCTAACTGACGATCCTGTTAAAACAGTAGAAATGAATTTTAGAACACTATGTACAAAACTGAGCAACATTTACTTCTGTGGAATTGACCATTTAAAATTGAAAGAATAAGTCATTTAGTGACAGACTAACAATATGGAAATGTAAGTGGAGACAACCAAGTGAATACTGATATTATTCCCGTAATATAGAGTTTCTAACCAAAGCATCTTTGTTCACTTCACTCTTTTGTCTTTTTTTCATTTCAACATCTAATTGATTCCTACAGAGATAAAATAATATTTAAAAACTTGAATTAGTGTGATAACGCATTCACAGAACCCAGAACTGCCAGTTGTGTGAATAAGTAAGTGCATGCATGTATTAGTGTACCGTAACAGAAGAACTATTCAATATTTAATTTTACCAAATTTGATTTTCACTAGGTTTTAAATTTACCAGTTTGTGGATAAACAAATGTGATACATGTAGCAGTGTCAAATATCACGTGGGAATTGACAAACACACAAGTATTGGGGGGGGGGGGGGTTTCCACACTTGATAAGGCCAGACCTTCATTCATTGTTTCGCGTACCCGCCGAATGAACAGGAACCGAAAATAAAATGAAATAAAAATATTTTTATTTTTTTCTCGCCCTCCTCAAAAAAATCGCCTTATAAAAACTCAAGAAACAAGGAATAAAAAGGTCAATTTTGATGAAGCAAGTGTAACCTTGCTATAATCCCCTATATAAGCTCTGCATTTTGACACAAATTCAAAATCCAATCATTCGATTTTTGCAGCAGCCTGCATGTTTGACTCTTGACTCTCGCACACTCTTGCAATGACCAGAAAATCATCTACTGAGTGAAAGTAAAATCCAGAGTATGATTGAACTTTCTTACCAGTATCTGCAATAAACATATTTTACCTTGCATGTTTCAAAGTGACTTCATATGTATCTCGTTCAGCCTGTAATTTGCTTATTTTTTGTTGCAGCTCCACAACTTTCATTTCCGCTGCCAGCCATCTCTGTCTACAATCGTCTTCAAACTTCACAAATTTCAAAAATTCTGTAATTTCAAATTAGATAAATGTAATTATACTATTGTAAAGAATTAGTACAGTATAGCTGTGCTTGATTAAAATACCGTACTTATCCGGGTAAGAGCCCATGCCTGAACAAACGCCCACCCACCACTTTTGACACATTAAAGAAGGTCATATCCGGGCACACGCCCAGGGGGTCTTTTTCTACACAAAACAAAAAAAACTTTTCTATTCGTTGAAGTCTGTCGTGATACTTATAAAAATTGTTAATTGCGTAAAACAAGGGGTAAACGCAAAATAGCTGTGACAGCTTTCTGCCTTCAGGGCAGCGCGTTCACCGCTGATTTTTTTCAGAATCATAACAGTCAGCAAGCCTATAAAAATAAATATTAAAGCAGGAACGGTAATTCTGTTTTTGAAATATGCCGTTTGGTTTGTGCTTCCTTGGAAACGATTCAAGCAAATCGTATAAGGAGAGCCGCTAAGCAAGTGTCGCACTCGTTCGGCTTTAGCATCGTCAACAATGAAACCAATGTTGCAATATTGTAGCAACCCGTACCT